CCGCGCCCTGCGCTCGCCCGGCCCGTAGGGCCTGACCCCTCCCTGTGCGGGGTCCCGCCGCCCTCCGCGCCCACCCCGGGCCGAGCTAGGGCGGCGCCCTGCGGGGTCGCGGGGCAAGGCCGACCCACGCACCTCGCGGGCAGAGGACGGAGCGAGGAGGCCGCCTGCGTGGGCAGGAGGGACGAGAGACGGACGCCCCATAAACCTACTCGCTTGGGCCCTCACACCCCAAAGCCGGCCCTGCTCTTTTCAGCCAGGCTCGCCTCACTTCCCAACCCCCACAATTGGGCCGTGGGCAATTTCTCCTACAAACAAGTGCTCGTTGTTTCGGTTAGAGAGGTCCCCCTGCCCCCCTCGTCGACCTTTCTGCTGTAGCTTGAATCCCGCGCGTGCAAAAAGACGCTTGCCCGGCTCTGAGAAAGTGTTCAGCGTGTTCTGAGGATTCCCTCATCCTCCCCCTGTAGAAGAGCCCCTCTGCTCCCCCTCCCCAAATACCTGTTTCTGTGTGGCCTCCGTTAGATCTGAGTCACAAAATGTTTCCCTCCAAACAGTCACCAACAAGTCAGTGTGTTTCCATACCCATGAAATGGTATCGTCATTGGAAAATCTTTCCCCCCCCAAAACATACAGTTCTTCCACGACAATCCTCTTCCCCTAGAAACCACCAGCCACACAGGACTCGGTTCGTTCCTCCTCTTCATTTATACCTGTAATACTCAGTCCTGCCTGGCTCAGGCGTCGCGGGAACAGGCAGTGTTAACCTGAGAGCCATCTCCTAGGCACTCCTGGGTGAATTGTGGCCAAAGAGAAAGCTTTGGTGCAGAGGTGCTCAACCTCTACCTCTCGGGCCAAATGTGGCCTGTGGAGCTGTGACATCCAGCCCACGGGGCTCCTCGTGGATGGGGAAATTTTGTGGCAGGGGAGCAGTGACAAGTCATACTGCTGCCTTTCCCCCACTGCCAAATTTTCAATCCCCTTGACACCAGACCACACCCCCTCCTTCCCCAACACGGCTGTATTGGGCTTGGGCCCATCCCACTTCCCCACTGTGCAGCCAGATCCGCCCTGCGGATGCTCTGAGCACCGTCCACCTGCCACAAAGGGGAAAAAAGTTAAGCACCACTGCTCTGGTGCGTTAGTTTAATTGGCACCATGGCTGAGAGAAGAGACTTGTATTAGTCACAAGTGCAGGAATGACAGACCTGTAGTGTGCAGGGAACTGAACCCCCGGCATAACATCTCTTCGCCAAGAGCTGCAGAGGGATAAGGTGAGGAGCCGCTTGTAGTCTGAGCATTGCTGTTTGCATTCATTTAGTCAAGCGTTTTATTCGCTGCATGCCCAGACCCATGTTTGCTCCTCAAAGAGCAGAAAAGGGACTCAGTTGGGCAGGGGTCTCCAGACGTGCCTCCCTTTGCTTCAGTCACACAGCCGCAGAGGTTCATGGTCCTGTTCAGACAGCACCAACCCAGGGCACAGGAAAGGGTACAGCATGCCCTGGAAGTGGCCCTGGAGCAGGCAGATCTTAGCCATGCCATGGGCATCATAAAACCCAACCCTGCCACACTCATAATCCAGGCAAACGCCCACCCTCCTGGGCCTGGTGTCAAGGGTCAGGCGGTCTGGGGGTGACAAAAGGGCATAGTAATGGTCACCTGGCAGTTTCCGAAGGGCCCAGTAGCCATTTTCCGGGATCAGATCTTCTGTCGCCTGGCGGTTGACTCTGTGGCTGGCTACCTCAACTACCCAGTTGCTTTTGTTCCCAACACTCACCTCCCAGTAGTGCCTGCCCGAGCAGAAGCCTTGGGAGCAGAGTACATACAGACAGGGATGGAAGCGCTGAGGATCCTTGGGAATGGTCTGGGAGCGGTGTCCCAGCTTCACTGCTTTCAAGTCTTCAGAGAGATCCAGATGGGCATGAGCTGTGTGTGGATCCAGGGTGAGGCTCTCCAATGCAGACTGCATAGCCTGTCGCAGCATCCTCCTGCAGATGGCATACATCAGAGGAGGGCTGCAAAGGCCTGCTGGCTTGCTGAGACTCAGTTCCTCCGTGTGCTCCTTCAGCTCTGCCTTGAACTGGTCTACTTGGCTCCCTGCCACATCTGCAAGGTGCTCATCACACTCTCTCACCTGGCCCAGGTAATCCACTATCTCCAAAACATTGGCTGCTCTCTCAGTGATCTTCTTCAGCCTGTACTCCAGACCTCCAACTACCTGCTCTTCCTCTTGGCTAATCTTGGCCATCACTGACTGCTCCTCAGCATAGAGGATGTTGTGCATCTCCTTGAACTGCCCCATGACTTTCTTTCGGAGGGACTCCAGGCTCATCTGAACAGCCTGGATCCCCTCCTTGTAGTGACAACAAAGCTTTTCTGCCTCTTCTTCAGCCTCCAAAAATTCAGAGACAATGTCTTCCACTCTTTTGCCACCGCCTTGCTCCTCGGGGTCCTTCTTCAAAGCCTCCATGGAGAAGCTTCCTGCCTTCTCTCTGCCCCTTCAGCTCCTGCAGTGGGAGGTTAGCAATCCTGCCTCTACATTTGATGATGTCACTTCTTGCCTTACAGTCTCCAGGTGCCTCTACAGCTGGATCCGCCTACCTCCCAGCAGGGCTCTTCCTCCTTGATAAATAACTACTGGTATTTGTGCTGCACTGGAACCAGCCCACAGCAAAGCCGAACCCTGTTGCTGGCTTCAAGACAAGTTCCAGTTTCCTAAGGCTTGGCTATGAGTTATTTTAGGTTTCACTGAAAGCAATGGGAGGGCCCTGCATTCGCTTTCTCCTGACGCCACCTGGGAGATTCCTGAGGCCAGAGTCCTCTTGTTATCTGCAGACCACGAAAGGCAAATGCAGTGTCCATAAAGGCTCTCTATTGTGCCAGAAGTTTAGGGCCCTCCCCTGGGAGGGGCTCAGACAGAGCAATAGTTTAAATCAGCGGTGCCCAACCTTTTAGCCCCATGGGCTGGATGGGTGGTACCAGGTCCATCCACAGGCTGGATCCAGTCATGGGCCTTGGTACACAGGACCAGCATGGAGGGGAGGGGTGCAGCCTGACCCTGATGGGAGCAGGGAGCAGCCTGGTCCCCATCCAGACACTCAGGGGGAAAGGGTGGAGATGGGAGTGGAGCAGCCCTGATTTGGACACTTGTGGTGGGGAAGGAGAAGAGTGGCCCAGATCTAGATATGTGGGGGATGGGGAGCAGTCCAGCCTGATCCGGACGTGTGGGGCAGGATTGGACAGGGAGCAGCCTGGCCCAATCAGACGCTTGGGTTGCAGGCCCAGCTCTGATTCTGCCGTGTGGCAATGGCCCAGGTACAGCTGGATCCGGAGCTTCCACTGCTTCCCTGCTGCCAAATTTTCTAACCTCTGCAGCTGGATGTCATGGCTCTGCAGGCTGCGTTTGGCTTGTGGACCAGAGGGTGAGCACTCCTGGTCTAAATCACTGATTCTCACCCATGGTGCTGGGCCACCCTGAAGTACTGCCAGATCCTTTGAAAGGTACAGGGAGTTGTGAAGAGCTAAGTGAGGGATGAGGAGATAAGCAGATAAAGCACACGCTCAGTCTATTCCTGCGTGGCCAGTCTCTACCCCTATTGCCCAGCCCCTCCACAAGGAGGGAAGCACTGCATTATATAAATTAGTTTTGAAATTGGATGCCACTCAATTCACAAACACTATGGAGGCGTGCCTCAAGTCAACTGAGGGGTGCCTTGAGTCCAATGAATGGTGCCTGGAGACCAAAAAGGTTGAGAACCATTGATCTAAATACACAGAGAGCTGAGCAGAGAGGAGGACCAGTTCAGAGCCCCAGTTGCCCCTGGGGAAAAGGCGGGCATCATGAAGGCACCTAACAATTGTGGAGGAAGTTTTTGGACCTTCATCTCAGAGCTCAGACTACTGGCTGGCCACCTGCTGGCCCTTAACAGCCTAGGTGGCAGCTGGATGGGTGAAAGACATGTCCCAGCCCCTGAACCCTTCAGACTCTGCAGGTGAACACTTCTGGGGCCTGAAGGTCCCACAGGGATCCCTATCACATCTAGTGAGGCCGGGCCCTGGTTTCTGTTGTCCCATAGCCTGGCATAGTCATTTACACCTCTGCAAAAACCATGGCCATTCTCAGACATGCCGCCAGGGGGCAGCAGCACTCCCCTCCCAAAATGATACCATGGGATACATAGGCCTGGCCCTCATCCCCATATCTGCTCCCCAGTGGGGCTCCACCTGCCCTGCCGCACTGGTGCAGAGAGCGCTGGCAAGGAAGGGCAGGCTGGGTCCTGGCAAAGGGATGAGCTGTGCTATGAGCTTCCTTGGCATTTCACCCTTGCTTGTGACCGCCAGGGTGAGACCAGCCCATCATGAGACCCCAATGGGCTGGACCATGAATGGATTGTAGCCAGGGTTCAGCACTATGGGTTGGCATATCTCGTGCCAAAGCAAGGACTTCAGGCTTTCTCAGGCTTTGCCCCATCAAAGCAGTTGAGACTCTGCCAGGTCACCACTATTTCCTTAAAGGGCTGCTGTGATGGTGGGAGGGGAGGGCTCATTCCCCCCAAAAAGGAGGGGCAGGGCAGGGGTGGGGAGGATCTGACTGGAATGCAGCTGCCCTGGATATAAAAGAAAGCACTACTCAGCCCCCAGATGAGGTCTAGGGAACAGCTTGAAGGGAAGCCAAGCTCCCCTTGTTAAAAGTTTATCACCAGCAGGTTGGGAAATTGGGGCACCATTAACCCTTTCCCTGCTGCACAATGCCCTGGGAGCTCTCTGGCAGTACCTTTCAGCTGTCAGTTTTAATTCCCAGGAGGCCTCTCGGTGCTGGCTGGGATGGGAGGGAACAATCAGACCACTGGATTGCTTGGAAGCCCCACTTCCCACCTGCTTGAGGCCACAGTGGCATCTTCCCCACCACCCCAAGGGGGCCGAGAAGATCGGGGTGGGAGTGGAGCCCTCTACTGCCCATGTGCCACTTCCAACCCATGGCTGGGTGCAGGTTTTCCTGCCAGCGAGGGAGACCTGAGTGCCTCCATCCTGCTTGGCTCCCTCCCTCCCCAGGCAGACAGAAATAGCTCAGAACACGGCTTGGCACTGGGTGGAGCTGACATCACCCAGGGTCCGGGGGTAAGAGCCATTCTATATGCCAGCACGCGGGGATTCCAGCAAGTGGGCTCCCCCTTTACTCAGAGCACTAGGTGGGTCAGGGCTGGGTGGGGAACCTGGGGGGTGAGCCAGGTGGGGGGGTATGTATGTGGGG